TTGGTTCATTCAGTACCGTACTGGTTATTGTACAATTTTGACATAGAAGGCATTCACAGACAAATTTATACCCGTAACCAATGCTTGTTGTATCTAATTACTTACCTAATTTTCTTCGACACTTGCCTTACACACTGATTTTTTGTGATTTTAGTGTAACCAAAAGGGAGTTCAAAGGCGCCCGTCTACCTTTCCCTTAATAAATCTGATCTGATCTGATATTTAGATGATTAGATGATTAGATGACCCTATTTATGCAGGGGCGTTCACCGAGGGTTCTTTCGGAACTCACTCTTTCCGTTGTGCCTTACGGGCTCTCTCTCTCGGGCCTAATCAGCAGCCGCACATCGGCGGATGATATAGGCAGTATGGTATTACCCATAAAGACAAGGGAGACTAGAATGGCCATTTCTGGCTTATTGGCCGTCGTCAGTCAGTCATACCCAACCCCGAAGTGTGGAACACCCGAGTCTCGAACTCGCGACCTGTTAGTTAGAAGTCCCACTTCTAACTGACTTTTGTACAGTTCATTTGTGAGCATGAGATCTTGGTCAGAAGTATGGATAAGTGAACGGTACACTACCGAAAGCGTCCGTGATCGGACATTCCTGGCAAATATGGTAACGCTTAACAGTTTCACATCCCGTACCAGACTATGTACATTAGTTATAGCGGTCAGATTGCAAGTGGCATAGACAATGACTCCTCCTCCTCCTCGGCTCTGTCGGTCTCTCCTGAGTTGCTGATATCCTCTAAGTGATATTTCTGAATCTACGATATCTTCAGCAAGCCATGTCTCTGGGGAAGCCAAAATGTCTAGCCTAATTTCATCAACCAGGTCTCTTAGTTCGTCTAGTTTGTTGAAGAGGCTTTGCACATTTGCGGAAATAACCTTCAATGACTGTTTCGTTGAGGATGTCCGACCCTCATTGTGACAGGTCTTGATAACAGGAAAGACCCCTTTGTCTGGACTATTTGTCCATTTTTGATCTTCAGCCCTTTATCTCCTCTACTAATTCTCTCCTTCAATTCTGATCTCAGTTCTCTCATTTTCAGCCTTTCCATCGGTTCTTAGTCTGTTTGAAAAAACACTTCCTTGTGCGAGTTGCGTATGGCCGTTCTACCTACTAACAGTAGCGTTGCTTAGGCTTCTTTTTCTAAAACGGCTTTTAGGGGTCTTGATGATGTTTACAGGTCACGATATGGATCCGCTCTGTCTAGTCGGAAAGCTTTCCTTACAGTGAGTATTTCCCCATCCTTCAGGACGGCACTGGCGTATTGATGAAGAAGGTCTAGGTCGTACATCACCCTTTACTTCGGAGTGCAGGACGTGGACTCTGGGTCGCCCCTTATTACAACATTTTGTTTACGACTTATGGAGGAGCTAATTATTGTCCCGTCCGCGCTAGGACGATATAGCTCCACTGTGGTGCTCCCGACGAATGATGGCGCAGCGACGTTAGAATGATTTTCGTCCGGGAAGGAGGCATAGGGTTTGGATTTTCATGTGACATACTTGCCCCGGCAATGGGGCTGCAAAGTGCTGCACGAAGGGGTATCGTGTCCTTTTCGATTGACGGAATGGTTAGGGCACTTTCAAACTGTGCTAGCCTTGTGATGTAGTGAGCAACGGCGTTACTTTCACTGCATAAATGTATTGGTCTGATGAAAGTTTATGGGAATCAAACCGCTGCTCGCTTAATGGCCTTCTGAATATGGAGGCTGCAATTAAATTTCCTAGGTGACAATGTTTCAGCTTATTCTTGAGCACAATATTTCCATAATATCTTCGGGTAGGGCAGGAGAATAAAGACCCAACACTGTAGATGACACTGCGCTAAACAAAATAGGCGTTATGGATATGTTTGTTGTTTGGAAAACGACGGTTAAGACTGGTTTTAGTGTGAGGGTTGAATCTAGGGCACAGGAGTAATTGCTTCCAGGAATTTAGTGTTAGGCCAAACACGTAGTATGTAGGGCAATTATTTCCATCTTCAACACGTTTTGCGATTGTGTTTTTACCGCCAGCACGTTTAAGACACGCATTCTGAGGCAGCCTTCATCACTGCGGGTTTTGGAAGGAAGGAAGAAAAAAGCGACGATGTGAAACTTCCTTGCTGTTATCTCACCAACACATTCAAATAATCCCGGAGGTATGAGAAAGCCTCGGATTGGACGGGTAGGCTTGGAGGAGCCATCTTTGGAGCTAGGCGAATAGCAAGTGAAAAGGCAATATCTGAAGCCACATGCCTCAATGCCTTAGGCCAACGACACATAAACTAACTTTTTCCATCATGCCTATCTTGCCATCTAATACTTGAACTGGCTTCATGTTACATCTACAGACCCAATACGGTGTCGACAGATCGCAAAGCCCTACATCTACAATTAGCATGATCAGTAAGCGCATTCATACTTCCCGGCCTGCCATCAACACCTTCTCTTACACTAACAGTATGGACTCAGCTTCAGCAACATATTTCAGTTTCACATTGACCTGAACAGTCATTTACGAATGTGTCGCAGCATGACCAGAGACCCAGTGTCTGCAGTTCTGACCTACACACGTCCCACACATTTTACCTGCCATCGCTACCTCAGGACGCTCAGACGCTACGCGGACCTACTTAGTTATATACACATTTATGAAATATAAATAAATAAATAAAACAGTACAACTCATCCTCTATGCAGCAGCCGTCTCAGTCCGTACAGACTCATGACCTACTCATGAGCTTATTCGTTCAAGGGTGTTCGACAGTCAATGTTGATTATGTGCACCGTGAATCCCAGTGCAGGATTGGAGCAGTGACGGAGATTTGCGCATGAACTAGTTTATAGAGATGGTAGAACTCTTCCATCAACCGAGTGTGCACGTTGTCAAGAGAGGGTCAAGAAGACTGGATGCGGAGGCGGATGCAGTGACTGACAGATCCAGATATCCTGTTTGCCTGTGACAAACACTACCTGCCATGAGCACAAGACACCAGGTTTTCATAAAAAAATGGATTTGTGGTTCTAGTTCGCATGCATGAAAGTGTCGTGGAAGCTATATTAATAAGGAGCCGTTGAGCCTGATTAACAGTCCAACAGTTAACCATTAATAAGGAACTATAACGGCCTGACTTTTCGTTCTCCGAAGAGGGCCGAGTTCGCCCGTCGGCTGACAGCCTTCTAAGCCATAGATTTAATTGCACCGTATAAAATCCAGCCTGTGATCGTCGACCAATTTTTTTCTTTCTTCCCTCTCCCAGACACTATTAGATTGTCCTAATCAGTCAACGAGCTGATTCACACGCTAATAGTAACCAGAAGGTCACGAGAAACCCAGACAACGGCCGTGTGAATCAATGTGCCAGCATCTTCTTCAGAAGAAATGTCGTACCACGAAAATTGTACATCTCAATCATGTGAAAATCGCGTAGTTTTGTAGCGACCGGTCTTCTGGAGTAGAGGACCAACGCGTTTTTGGCGGACCCAAAAAGGAATCTTTCACACCACGTCAGTTACTACGTCCAATCTCAAAGCTGATCGACATGATTAGGAAGAGGAATTCTGCTATGTGATATACAGGCTGAGTTATATGTACAATAATTAGACGCACTTGATAGCTCGGCTCCTATTGGACCAACACATACATCCCCGCACTTGTATTAGTTTTAATGTCCGAAGACGATGAGTGGTTTGGTGGGAGAGAGGAAGATTAATGGGAATTAATTCTGCTTTATTATAAACAGATCCACCTACAAGTTACGCTTGGCACGCTCTGTAGGGTAGTGGATGACATCCAAAACGGTCGAACCATAAGGTGACTTGCTTCCTGCATGTCGTGGTCGATAACTGGTCGTCCGGCTGGCCGCAGACGTGAAGACTTAAGAATGGAAGTTCACCATTAATCTCCTTCTATTGTAATTTGGATGATCGAGTTCAGTTAGTACTACAGTAATCAGTCTTGCCTGGGTAAGAATAACATATATGTTGCCAAAAAATCGAACATCAAAATCGGTCGGCAGGTCTCGATCGTCTTCATAGTAGAATTATCTAGGGCCGCCTCAGAAATCTTGCGGGCCAGTGAATTGATTAGGATGCTTTCGGATTAATCAAAGGTTTTAACAGCAAAATGGCCTTCCCTTGTTGGACTTCGAATAAAACGTTTGAAGCTTAATGTAGATATGTAGTCCTTCCATGTCCGTGGCGAACAACACTTTTACATTTTAAATTGAAGGTTGGAAATTAGTCTGTTAGATCACACCACCAACCCCTACATGCCATGGGAGTTTGTCAGGTATACCTAGGGAAGTCTGCAAAGTATTTACAAGAACGCTATTTAATTTCGTTGGAGACAGTAAGCTGCAATGAAGTTTGCGCGCGGCTGTCTACTTCACTCTTACGTACTCGCATTTACAACTGTCAGCCTGCCCTTATCGTATTAAGATATGGTACTGCACGACTGCTGATGATCCACGTCTTTGACCCAAGTGCTATTACTTCAGTGGGCAATTTATGTCATTTACTAGGTTCGTGTTTGAACTCGATTGTGCTTCTTTGTCTCATCCTATCGTACTTGGCAGTAAAATTCGAATTCTAAACTGAGTTCTGACAACGTCAAGACTTTCGCATAAAAAACATTATTGTAGGCACGGAGCGTATTGCAAAAAGCAAAATTTTCATGTAATCTCTCAGTTTAGTCAGTTTTCTAACAGTTGTTTTACTCAAGTTCGATTCACTTTATCAGCGACCATACCACGTTGAAAGCACCTGTTTTCATCTGGATCACTTCGGTGAGCGAACGGTTTACCACATATCCCTTCACCCTATATGAGTTGCAGAATCACTTGAACAGTATATGCGGAGCTTTTCTGTAAAGAGTGATAATCGTATTTTACAAATACACATACGTCTGCATTAGCTGTAATGCAAAAATTTAAGGGTCAGTTGTTTTAACTATTGCTCGTTTTGCCGCCCTTTCTGACAGAGTTTGTGGTACGGCTCCGACAGATATGTCATTTTTTGGCGGTGGGACAAGTGTTTTTGGTGCTACCTCTACCGCAACTAACAATGCTGCTGCTCGTGCTAAGGACTTAGAAGTTCAGTCGCCTCCCACAGACGCAATATCTTGCCTCAGGTTCTCGCCTGGTGCGAATGCCACAAGTATATACTTGGCGGCAACCAGTTGGGATAATCGTGTTCGTGTATGGGAAGTTATGGCCAATGGAAATACTGTTCCGAAAGCTGAGCAAATGCACCAGGGTCCGGCCCTAAGCGCATGTTGGAGCAACGACGGCACGAAGTTATTTTCAGTTGGAGCTGACAAATGCGCCCAGATGTGGGACCTGGCATCAAACCAGTTCGTGCAAGTAGGTGCGCATGACGCACCGATAAAAACGGTTCACTTCATCTCATCTGCAAATTACACATGTCTGATGACTGGCAGTTGGGACAAGAAGTTAAAGTAAGCCCAGTTTTCCCGTCCTTCATCCGCAGATGATTTACGTTATGGATTTTGGATTTTCTGTGCAAGTAGTTATTGCGGTGTCTACCTAATCTTTACCCTCAGTGGTCCTGTTTTTACGTTTTCCAGGAGCGTCTTCTCTGTGTTTGTAAAACAGATTAGAGCTTACACACTCACTGCCATCGCAGCGAAAGCTCTGGATCGTTGGTACCACCAATTCTTCGGAAATGACGGCGAATTGAACAGAAGTCACTACTAAATTACCGGGCGATTGAAAGTGCACTCGACTAGGACCGCATGGTAGTCAGTCTGACTAAACGGTAGAATTTCTATTGTGGTGTGTAAAGCCTGTAGATTCCTACCATATAATATGCGCAAGTTTTAGTTAACAGTGAAGTGGGTCACCAGATTCGCATTTCAACGGTTGATTTCAGCCATGTGATACATAGCTGCATGCCGCATTTTCACTCCTTATTCTCACCTGATCGCCTAGGTCCTTGCCACATTGAATTCTGCTTTAATGGGTGTTTTTGGCAGATTCGAGTTATCCATCTGATCCAGTGGGAAAAAACTCGGCGACCTGAGTGGGATTAGAATCTCAGACAGTAAGGATATAGACATGAGTACAGCCAGGGCTCTAACCGTCAGAGTTACAAGGCCTTAATCGAGTGCTGAGTTTAATGACATTTGAGTAAAGTTATTCGTCCAGCCGACTGCATATTTTGTAACCCACCAATTCGGATGTAGTCAGCAGACAGCTCAAGTAGGCATTCCTAATCAGTCCGTACAGAATCCACCAAATGACTACCAGGCTCATTGACTTAGTGGGTGTTTTGGCACATTTGTATAATTCATCTGGTTAGTTTGTGGGTGCTGGTCGTAATCAGGCCTCGCCTTTGATGTTCTGGGTTCTAGCCTCGTTGGGGCCGCAGAGTTCTTCACAGTTGGGTTCGAATTAATTACGCTTTTTGATAGGGTTTAACATACCCAACGCTCCGCAGACGCCATTGGTGCGTCGCCGTTTTCTCTTGAGTCAAAATACATGGCCAATAGTAGCTAAACCAAGTGTATTTCTGTCAATGGAACTCATAAAGCTTACTTCGTGAGCGCTAGTTCACACATTACATCCTAATCCTTGTGACCATCAGAAGAAAAAACATGAAACTGTACGAGGCTATAGCTGAAAACATCGTGTAGCACGGCCGCGAAGTATATTTTTGCGTGCTACTGACTTGATTTCGTACGTCATGTCCGATGGATGTTCTTTCCTCTGAAGAACCGTATCCGAATCTATGAGTCTCTTGCTTGTGGCACAATGAAAGCTCGCAACTGAGGAGAACTGGGCACCCTTTCTGTCGGCCTGAAGTTAATGTGGCTTGCCACAATGTTTACTCACTCGTCGATGAAGCGTGTGCACACTTCTTTTGTGTGGAAGCAGGTGATCTCTGGCAAAGAGTGTGATCGTTTGTATTCTATGGACCATCGTACCAGTTGACCGTTGCGCTAGCGACTGACCAGACCATCGGAGAGGGAGGAGGGGTCGTTCGTTCACCTCGTCCATGCTGATGTGCATGTCGGGGACGATCGAACTGGGTTCGGCCTTGAAGTACTTGTTTCTTGTACTTGATTTGGCCTCGTTTATGATGACAAAAGTGCTGATGTAGTGCATCAGAAATGTGTACTGGCACATGAGATACGCTTGCATTTCGAGGCAATTCCAATGATCAACCCAGAAATCGGTAACTCACTAACGTGCATTTTTAAGCGCATATTTGACCCAATTGAATGGGAAAAGATACCCGGTAGAGTACTTCCCGAGTCCCACGAGGCTCCGAACTCTAGACTTCCCGTTGACCCCATCGTAATGGTCATATAATGGGCCGTTTGTTACCCCGATCGCTAGTGTCCGGGCTATGGAAGTGAATGGGAGTCAAACTGAGGGACACCATTCTCATCCCTGATCCTATCTTGATGTCTTTGAGTCGTTCTAGGAGTTGTTCAGATGGTTGGACCGTTGTTGATGAACCCGAATTTAGAGACTTCACTTTGTAGAACACTATTCTCAGCACCGTACGTCGGTGTCGCTTGAAGTGAGGTGAGTGGTCTGAGAGGGAAGGTGACCTTGTGAATCATTGGCAACCAATAAAGTCGTGCCTTAGCTACTGCTTTTTGTTTTGACATATACCATTCTGTGTTTTGCGAACATTCCTATGTTACACTTGAAAAGTCAGATCGGCAAACACATGTTTTTGATAATTTATCACCAGTAGCTATAAGGGTAGCGAATACTGTGCTATATTGTCAGAAGACGTTGACAGGCGCTCTGTCTTCCGTGACCGACGCTGACCCTAGATGCTTATCGCACGCCGCTCCAACCCCGCTGATGACAGTGGTGTGTACTTCACGTACTCGACTTACTGACATCCCTCACAGCCTGTCACCCCGTGCTCCCAACGGCCATAACACGCCGACCTCGTCATGCGGGTGGCGCGGGAAAGATGTATGGTACTAACCGCCGAGACACGTATAAACCCTGTGAACCCTGTTATACGTTACTGTATGGGCCAGAGGATGAATGATCGAAAACTCATGTTTGTCAACTTGACTTTTCAAATATATCAGCCTGCTCTGATGGTTTTGCATGGAACTTCTCCGCCCGCGAATTATCAAGGGTATGTTGGAGTAAGTCAAAGGCGGTCAATGCCGCCTTGTCCGGTCATGTCTATGGACAACAAAAAGTAGGGTATCCAGGGCCCGTCGCTGATTTGTGCATTTACAACAAAAATCAGACTGAACAATATTCGTGATCGTTGTTTCTTTAATCTAGGGACGTATCTAGTAAGAGCTACGTACTGCCCTCTTGACGACAGAGGGAAGGACCTCGTTTGAATTAGAAACTAAGCTACTGAGTTGTACGGTTCCATAAATTGATCGAATTTTCACAAATGCCCTGTCATGATTGCAGCTGTTTTAGGGCTTTCGTGTTTTGTAGCGGAGGGGATAATATACCTAGCGTTTATGAATTTTCATGGGCCTCTGTTCCTCTGTTAACACCCGAGGCACTTCTTCTGCGACATGCTGTCTTCTGAAGCCAGAAAAGAGTTTGTCTGTAGACTGCGTGCATGTAAGAAATGAGAACCCACGGCCTGTAACAAAGTCTAGTTGGGTGATTCCGTGCACTCGTTGATGTCCAGGAACTCCAAATGCTTTGCTTGGTAGTACTGGTGGTCACCATATACGCCATGTTTTAAGACTATGCCTCAGCAACCTAAAGACCGCTAACCCTCATGGCGAACAACTGCGCCACGACCGCCTTGAAAAATAAGTCATTGCCGTAACCATCAGAACCACCGCCACAATCAGTATCACGACGACCACCACCATAGCCTTCACAGCCCCCATCACCACCACCTCGTTACAGATGGCAAGTAAGGCCTATAAGAGTTAAAAATCTGCACCGAAGCCGAGTATGGGTCGTTGCAACCGGGTGTCAATTTCTCCAACGCCCCCATCGACTATGTCAGCAACGGTGCGCTGTCATTTTTATCCCGTTTTGTCCAAGTAACAACGGGCTAAGAGGAAAAAAGAAAGTAGTTCTTAATGTCTCAGCGCAAAAAAGGCAGTTAATAATATGTGTTACCAAGACGGTTATTCAAAAACACTCGAATCGCCGCGAAAAATCTGCAGAGCTCATGGAGAAACACTAAAAAGAGGACGCCAGAAAGAGTTTTTGAGTCTTGAAAGTTCTTTTTTACTGATTACGAAGCGTCCGCAATCGAGATCTTCGTGAATGGCAAGAGAAAATGGACCTCCTCGGCTACTATACCTATAGGAGATACGACAAATTAAACAAAAGCCAACGATTGTCTATTTGGGAAATGTCGTCTCCCATATCTCATCGTGGACTAGATAGAGCGTGAGGTTTGTTTCACCTCCCAGAAGACGCTGACCGCCCAGGGGCTGGCAAGTGGCAAAACTTGACCGATATTGCTCAACTGCCGAAGGCCTTGAAGCCGGTGTATATAGATAACTTGTTTGCAGACTGTAACACAGTAGTTACTGGAAAAGCACCAGAGAGTAAAACATGTCCGCTGCGTTCTCAGCCGCCGCCACAATAGAACACTCGTACGAAACTTCCCCTTACAACAAGCAGGCCACACCGACTTCCCGTACTATGATTCTTCTGTGACTCCGGCTTGGTGTTAGGTGAATGGAGCATTCGATTAATCGTCTGCGAAACCCGGGTTTGGACACGCTGATCCTTTCTACCATTTTCATCGCTGCCTCTGAGCGGCCTTCCTGACTTCAGTGGACCTACTGCAACTCACAGAGACGGTTTCCCACCAAAAACGTTATTTATCACAGCAACCGTCAAAGCCACCATTCTCCCATTCTTGCTCCCCACTGCAACAAAACCCAAACACCAGAATACCACATAAGCCATCTCCAGTGCAAATGCCATCAACTGCTCGGCCACCGCTTCGAATAACACCGGGCCGCGATCATGAAATTAGGTTACATTATCAACCGGGAGGCGTGGGCAATAGGTGTTAGGGCCTTTTCGGGTCTGCAGTTAAGTTTTCCATGGGACCTTGTGCGGGGATTCCCCAGAACTCCTGATTGATTCAGAAGCGTTCGACGAATTCTCCACCATCAAAAAACCGCTGCACTAACCACGATTGCGGGGAATAGCGACTGAGACATTGCAATAGACAACAGAACCAGGGACCGCTGGGAGTAATATCAGCACCATCCAAGTACGGGCAAGCAGCACTATCTCAACGAACATCGCGCCTGTTGACACAGCACCTGCTAGCGCAATTTGTGCCGTGACTGCAGGTTGTCCTCTGTGCATGATCTGGACCACCATTACTTCGGAATGAGCAATGGCCTACAAGTGAATTGAGGAGAAACTTGCGCAACATTGTATTAAAGACGACTAAATTTGAGATTGACCACAGTGTCTAGCCTGGTGCTCAGCGCTGCCTTATGCTTGCTACACCTCTACTTATTCCCCACACCGTCTGTACAAAAATTTACCCACCTTTATGTTTGTCCGCCGAAGTTTTTGTGGCAACCATAGTTTTGCGAGGAACGACCGCAGCCCGGATTTCGATTTCAAACACCAGTCTGTAGCTTTGATCGTGATAGTTTACCTGCGTCAACGCAACTCTTTAAGCCACCTGAACCCGTCACCACAGCCACAATCAAGACTACCGACAGCATCATCAGAACCGAAGCTGCTGATCGCCTTGTAAGGCTGCCAACATCCTCATTGCTGTCTTTTACTCCCAAAACCCCGATTTACACCTCCGCCAGAAACACAAAAACCTCAACCAAAAGCACTATCACAAAAACCAGTACAAGCAGCATTACTTCCACCAACCATCACCGACACCCGACGCAAATGCGAAAAGGACGTTGACCAGCACTTTCGTTGCTTATTGCTTTAACCTCTCCGTTCACCTGCCTGCAATTTCGCGTTAGGATGTGTAAACTAACAAACTGCAGTCTGAACCCTGATTATGAGACTAGCAGATGAGAGATTTTGACACTTCGCCCTTATTAATGGTGTTAAAGCCAGTCTAAGCATGTCTCGCATGCAGTTGGCGGTTTCCTACCCAGTTTAAAACGATATAATATTAACTGGTGCCGTACAGGGTCTTTGCAGCGAAGAGTTGGGCATCCAATTCGTTCTCATCTTCCAATGAATTCCCCTGGCGACCTTTCGCCTGACTCCAAACCTTTCTTCATTTTCAGGTTTTGGGATGCCAGACAGGCAAACCCAATGGCCGTCATTGATCTGCCAGAGAGGGTGTATTGCGCAGATGTCACCTTTCCGGTGGCTGTCGTTGGTGTTGCTGGCCGGCAGATACTTGCGTATAGTCTGGAGAATGGACCAACAATGGTTTCTCAGATTGAATCTCCTCTCATGTTTCAGGTGAGATTTTCCTCATCTTTATGCAAGTTTAAGTCCGCTCAAGTATTCGTTGGTTGGTAACTTTCCATACCTACGACTATTACCTAACCGTGCTGGCTAATATTGTGCCAAACTTCTTACGGCGAATAACGGTTTCGCAAGATCGGCCTCACTCTCATTTTTCTCTCATAAGTGACAACGTAGCGCCCTGCATAATAGAGTTTAGATCACCTTCACCGCTGCCGATCAGACACCTCGCCCCCCCCCCCTCCCGCATGTCATATACGTGTTTGGCTTCTCTCTAGGTCCGACGCAATAACATGGCCCATTTTCAGCTCAAGAAATAGTGTTAGCCCTGTGACGCTGACACGCTTCCTGCTTCTTGCGCCCTTTTTATTGACTTCTCCGCGTGCCCAGTTTCTCACTTGTTCAGCACATGTTCTTTAAAATTTCGAAGTATCAGTAGTGTTTAACAAAATCTGATGATTTTAAACCACCCAACGGAGTTTTTCCAACCGTTTGTATTCATGCGGTTTCATTTACTTCACCGTCCTTTTTTGTCTTTCGACGCTGTTTGTCCCAGAATCGCTGTATCTCCATCTTCCTCGACAAACAAAAACAATCCCCGGTGGGTTTCGCCCTTGGCAGCATCGAGGGCCGTGTCGCCGTTCATTATTTTCAACCGGCTTCTGCCAGGGACAATTTTACCTTCAAGTGTCACCGCTCTGTTGCCCCCGTGAATGGCTACTACGAAATCTATGCGGTAAGGTGCCCTCCGACTTACAAGCTTTGAACTGATTTTCCCAACCAAGGGTCTCTTAACCATCCCTTCACATTGCCCTTTTTTTCCCTTGGGATGTCTTGACCGTCTGGAATGGATACAACACCTACCGTCGTGCCAAGCGCTCTAATCAGCTGAGCTATTAGGGTCTTTCTTTTGGTCATGCATTGATTTATCCTCACTTATTTCAGACTGTCAAGGCGAGCTGGGATTGGAAGATGAACAAGCAGTTTGATATAGTTGGTTATTTTAGTACCGGAAAACCACTTTTTGGTGTTGCAAACTGTTGGGAATACCAAACTTACACACAGAGAAAGCTGGCGGCCTGGGCCTACTGGCTCTGGTCTTCTCATATGTAATTAATCCACTCCAACTATGGTTGCTGCTTATTACGCTCGCGGACATACAACATTGTCTCGTTGATATAGGTAATTCTGTTTTCTTATTAAAGTAGCTTAACTATGGCGCGGTCTACCTCGTCCATCTCGGGCACGTCAACGGCGAACAATGACGTCCGCCATGTGCCCCAGACGTGGTGGCCTCAGGACGGTGACTTGCGTGTGAACTAGTCTATAGTGATGGCAGATTTTCGCAGTATCTTCCGCGCCATCTCCTCCCTCGCCCACCCGACCTCGATGGCGAGACAGAGTCAGGACGGCCAAAGTCGGTCTCGGGCGCAGTGGCTAACAAGGTTAAACGCGCTGTCTACGCATGCCCCACACACGCCTGGTCCGGCATGATGGACCAGGTTTTCACAGGAACAAGAAGCGGTCAGTTCGGATTTCACGTGCGTAAGAGTGCCATAGGGGCCTATTGAGTCCGACTCTGTCCTGAGAAGACCGAGTTACGCAATCGGCTGGCAGCCCGCCAAGACACAACTTTTAACGCGTCATGATAATTTCAAAACACGTCAAACGTTTTACAGTGAGGGATACGCCGAAGTGCCGCGTGAATAAACCCTGTCCGAGTGGGTCAGTCATTGAATGGTAGGATTGGGAGCAGTGGCCGGTGCTGCGTGAAATCTGCTTCCAGGCGCTCTACCGCACCCCCCCCCCCCATGTGTGGCAGCAGTTATTGGACTCGCGCGGACTCTGCGTAGCCCGATTACCGCGTGCCTTAACTGGATATGGCTCTCGTTTGGGTTCCGCACATCTGCAGCGCGGCCTTTTGTAAGGACCCACGACACCGACCAGCAGCATGGTAGCAGTGGTGACTTTCGCCAGGGCTAGGCTATCAGGAAGGGAACTGGCTCTGCGTCGAAGCCTATCTCTACCCGCTCCAATCGTGTTCCTACGGCAAGAATGCGTCGAGACGACTGCAAACGGGCTATACCGCAGCCGACGTGCGCTGCAACAGGGCTCTGCTTATGCTGATTTCACACACATTTGTTGGCGGTAGAGAGGCACACTCTCATCTGGGGAAGCGACCGCTAGACTGAATGTTGCGCACAGCACGGCTTCCTTGGGTCAAAAACGAAAGCTGGGGAATTAGCCAGTGTCAGGAATGAGCACCTTATGTGACGGCTCCTTCTGTATGACTTTCCTTCTATCACTGTGACCATCCCCCCGTGCGTCCCGTATCCCCCCCTATCTCTCACACCCACACAGAACATACATTCATCCCGTCTAGAGATGCTTATAACAAACCTGTAGACTCCTTTTGTCTGCTATTTTTTTAATCACAAAATAGTTGTCTCCTCCTTTTTCGCCCTCGTGGGACATTTATAGATATAGGAACTCTGCACCACCGTTGCAATTGTAATCAGAGTCACCTTGATAGCTGCCTATACCTTTTTTCCTTTTTTTCTTTGAGCCATGGTGTTTGAAGTATGTTAAGGTGAATGAGACCAACCACTTTGGTTCCGAGTAGTGAATGCTTCTGCTAGCGGACGTCTTTATTGTTTGTGAACAGGAGTTTGCTCCCTTCAGCACAGCGTTCCAAGAAGAGCGCGTGAAAAGCGTACATACTGTCATCAGGATCCTGCTTGGGCAGTCAACTTACTTTATCAAATTTGGTGGATTCCAGACGTTGCAGTAGGTTGGGCGGGTAACTCGATCCAAATGTGATTAAACTCGCGTTGTCCGGCGGGGCCTCGTAGCTCAGGTGTTTAGAGCGTTGGCTGTACTAAAGCCTCCCCTTACTGCGTGGGTTCGAATCCCACCGAGGCGTCGAGTTTTCCACAGTTGGGCCAATATGAAAGCTATTGTTCTGGCGGCATTAACTTTGTAATTTCACATTCTCTGGACTAATTTCTCATAAAAGCACACTAATTTTACTACTGTACTTTTCAAGTAGGTACGTGTGTTTCTCCCAATAGGTAAATGACCTGGCCTTCCACCCTGTCCACGGCACCCTTGCCACAGTTGGTTCCGACGGTCGGTACGCCTTCTGGGACAAGGATGCACGAACAAAGATACGTGGTCTGGAAAATGCAGAACTGCCACTGACCTGCTGTGCATTTGACTCCAAGGGCCAGCTCTTTGCCTATGCTTCTGGATACGATTGGTCCAAAGGCCACGAATATGCCGACCCCTCTAAACCAAACAAGATTTTCCTGCGTCAGTGTTTTGATGAAATGAAGCCGTCACTTAAATCCGGTTGAGAAAACGTTTTAGCGTCTGTCATTTTTGTAAATGTACAGTCTATTTTGAGATACTAAGCATCTATGCCTGTGTTCTCCAATTGCTGATATGGTAGGGAAGGGGACGACAAGCTCTTGCGGTACTCCAAACGCGGATCTCGCAAACTCCTCTATGGGATTGAATGTTGGTGACATCGTCTTGCAGATTGAAGATCTCAGTGTGTAGTGGTCAAAAAATATTGGGTCACCGTAAACCACACACATTAAGTTCGAACCGTTTGATGACAGAAGGCAGGGAACAGTGAGAACCGATTTGTTCTTTACACAGAGCAGATTGCCGTGAGTTGACAGTTTAGTTTTGAGCCAAAATAATACGTCCGTTGTCGACCGCCTGGCTAACGGCGCGGAGTGTTGTTAGTTGTTGCCCAGTCTTGTATTGATGTGACCTTAAAGGCATCCACTTCAAGACTAACCTCTTAGTACAAAGAATTATACCGAGGGCGATGGGTGTAACAGGCGTCACAAGATTCGTTGAGTTCGCAGTCACAGGTGAACGGTTGCAGCTTATCTTTTTTGAGGGTGATAGGCGAAGCCATTGAAGCCTCTACTTTTTACATGCCGGTATGTAGTGTATGTACGCGCCCACTGAAAAAGTGCCATTGTTGAAATAGTACCTACACAATTTGAGTAGTATTGTTTTAAAACTTACCCAACTGCAGTTGACGGCGTGTTTATTCGGGAGAGAACGTGGGACACATGCTTACCCGAGGGTTTCTTGCAGAGCCCGTGCAACTAAGGGGGGGGGGTGGGGGGAAGGGCAGGAGGTCATTCCACTGTCCTCTTATCTGTTGCTTGAAAAATTAAGACCGGAGAACATATTTTGTCTTTTGCGAACACTGGCTGCCTGGTTTGTCTGTAATATTCGAGGCGAGGTCGAACGGAGTTGACGTGATCCCTCACGAAAAGGTCTCTGTCGGAAGCTACACATGTCCGTTTGACAGCATGTAGTACTCCCACGGCATATTTTACAGCCTTTGTGCACTACAGTGAAGGTTTAGGGTTGTTCTTTCTCAGAACAGCCGAGGTCCTTCCGCGAAGATTCTTTGGGAGGTTGAATGGCATTCAGGCAATATGTCCTCATGCCGTTGTTCGGGTGGTAGTTGGTTGGACGCAGGTGGAGGGCGACACACTTTGGCACATAAAAATCGAGACGCCATCTCACGGACCACGTTTTCAGTCTGCGTAGGTTATTCTGAAGGGCTTTCTGGTCATTCGAGACCCTCATGACTTGCCAGAGTTTAACGTTACCGGACAACATGACCTTACCGCAGTAAAATCTCTGAAGACTGCCATTCACATAAGGCATTAGGGATAAGGGTCTGAGAACCAAGCCTTGAGGCATACCCCTTTTCACGTTTACCCAGGTTGACTTGTGGCGAGGTACCTGACTAATTTACCTTTGACAATTTAGTCCCATTTTCTTTGACCACATTGCTTGTTTGAATGTGACGAGAAACGACACCTGTACAACCTTGCTAGTGTGCTAGTATTCTGTTGTCAGTTTTCTTAACGTTCAAAAATCTCTATATTATTCACTGCTCCGATTTACTTGCTGCCTTTAAGGCTAGGGGCTCGTGAGATATACCTCGTTAGTTCGTGAGAACATTACTATCTATGACACGTTGTTTTCGACCAACTCTTATCCAGGTACAAAGCTTTGCCCTAGTGCTGAGGACGCTCACTTTATGCAAGAGGTGTTGATATGGGACACTATTGAAGGTTTTGCGGAAATCCATTTATACTACATCTACCTCGGAGCCCTCTTTTAAAGCACTGATCCCAACCTCCAGGGAAGTTAGAGGGAACATCCTCGTCCAAAACCTGGCTGGAAATTCTATAAAATGTTATTTTCGTATCAAAATTGTGACACTGCACGCTTTAGGAGTACTTCTACTTCTTTAGTAAGAAAGGCGAGTCAAACCTATATATCTAAAACCATTTGCTGCCATCAGCCAATATGCTGGCTGTCTTCCACTGCGGAGGCAAACTCTCTGTTCATATTGACAGTTCGGAACGAGGTGGAAGAGGCATTGTCAACCGTGTCGATAATTCCTTAGTTATCGGCCTAGGAATCCCATCTGGTCCAGGCGGCTTGCCTTGCTTCTTCGACGGAAAAGGAAACCATTTCAATGACGACAGTGTCTTGGCCCGCTTAGGACTCCAGACAGTCTTAGGGGGATTCCGCCATAAAAACGTAAGAAAAAATTGGGGCAGTAGTTGCACTTTCTGTGGCACTTCAGATAACATGCACGTTTCAAATACTACCCCTGCGCTTACTCCTACCGCGGATTTACCCGTAAAATCTCTTGGAGCATAAAATGGCCTGTGCTGTCAATCGCCGCTTGAAGGAAGTCTTGGCAGTTCGTATTCGCTTGTGGCATTCATTTTGTTGCTCTTAATTTTTCGATGATTGATGTGGGATCTTTAAGATGCAAGTTCTTTTTCAACGGTCTCTGTTTCCTCTCTATGTCTCTATTCATCGTTGCACTAGCCCACGGAAGTCGAGCACACTGTCCTATTATTTTCATAGGCGGTTTGTAATCTCCTGAAATTTTCGATATCGTTTGTACCAAATAACCAGGCTTCTCCCGAAGCAGCACGTTTCATTTCACTAAAATCGCTTCTCCAGATATTCCCGCGCCTCTTGATTTGTGGCTGTGCAGGGGATAGGGGAGAATACACACAAGTTAAAACAATATGATCACTTAAGTCGAGCGGCGATTGCGAGTCCAATTCACTTATGACTACTTATTTGCAGTAAACGAGACCCAAACAGTTGGGGTGTTGCCGTTTTCTCATATTTGTTCCGAACTTTATGTGTCGGTTGAGGTGCTCCTCTAAAGAAAACTCTAGTAGATTGCACGCAAATGATGTGGTTAGGACGATTACTGTGGGAAGTTTCCAGTCTACGGTAGGGACGTTAAAGTCACCCAGTACTAATAAGTTTATCTGTTTGCGTATAAATTTCAGGAGACATAGTAGTTCGACGTCGATGCTTTCATTAAAGCCGGAAGACCGATAGACACCGCATAAATTAAGATTCAGCAATCAGCTGATCCCAATCATGCATGAAATTCTTTTATAATTTAGTAGTACTACGTCAGATTTTTCCGCTAACAAGAGGAAATTTTGCTGGATATATGAATTACAGCCTCTCGGTCTCTACGTTGAAATTTGTCGCAACGAGACTCCATTTACTTGCTGCCGAGCCTCATTTTTTTCAGACAAGCAGGTCTCTGCCATTGCAATCATGCTTGGTTTCTGCCCAAAGGCAATTTATTTGAGTTCATTTAGCATGTCCAAGACACTCAGACAGTTGGCGTAGTATGTTTCTTGCCAGCGGCCTCCAGTGCCCGTAATAGCATCTAAAGGGGGCATCCTCAAACTGGTTATGCTATAAGAATGACTGCCTCCAGCAAAAGAAATTCTCATTTGACCTGAACCATGTGCCTGTCTCTTATCTTGAGGTCCTTTTTACCGCTGCTCTTTCACTCTTTCACTTCTGTTATCAGCCGCCGCGTTTTCATTCTATGTTTTTATAATCTGATTGAAAAAAAAACTTCGGCTTCACATCACAGAAAAGATTTCCCCTTATAGGAGGAGCTCCGCCCGCACTTCGGGAACTTGAACCAGACGCTGACCGAGGCTTCCCTATTATACATGCTTTGAGACTGGTGTTTGACTCACCCTCTCCTAGCAGAGCTTTAATCTACTTTTGAAGGGATCCTAAGTCTTGTCTATCTCTACCCCTTGGAATTGCTGACGTGCCTTCTGTGACCTCTTTTATAACTATATATTATGTGCGATTGAACTGAGCGTCGGCTGTGTCGCATCATATCTCCCACTATCTTGAGTCATCTTTGGTTTCCGCGAATGTACTTGCCCAGTCGTCGTAATAGGTGTCCCGCAGAACCTAAGGCATGTGGTTTACGGAGGATTCACTACACTAGGACGTAGTCAAACTGCCTGACACAGTCAGAGTTGGCAAGTGTGACCTCATAGCTGGTGTTTACAGCCTTCATCCGCTTTTTATTTACTTTTTATATGGTTTCTGAGACAGTATCCACTCTAACCAAAAACTGTTCCACGCGTCATTAAGGCAGTGATTCTACTTACAGTAGGTGGGCTAACTCATGAAATGTCAACCGAATTTCCGAAATGTCTTCGTTCCGAAAAGATTTATTAAGTAGGGTTGTAGAACTAGTCAGCCTGCAGCATATTTCTATCATAATTCAGTTACCTCAGGATGCCAGCCTTCGAACGAACTTCCTTTCGGCTGCATGCAAAAGCTACGCTCTGTAAAAATGGCTACTTAATTAGCATGAATTTTTCTCATTGATTTTCGATGCCCCTAAAAGTCTAATTGTATTTCATGGAAAACATGCATAAAAATATTCATTCTTTCGCCTATTCCGTAGAAAATTACGTCTTCTTCTAATGTTATGCTCGAAGGACGAACATAATTCAGTTTTTAAAAAGTTTCTAATTGTGGGACTTTTAAATACCGTGAAATGGCCGCTCATAAATCGTTGTGTCTCTGCATTTATCAATGTGGCTTGTAAAGTTAACAATATGGATCAAATCTACTGTTAAATTTTATGAACTCCATATGGCTTCCTCTTATTACCATAGAGGAATGTGTGGTTTTCCGTACGCGGAAAATATACGGCTTGTAGTTTGGAAACACCGAATGCAAGTGTAACGGCAGAGCGGATTCAAAATTATTCGGGAATTGGAAAAGTTTTATAAAACCAAACTATACTCTTCTTTCGAATATAAGATTGGAAAAAGACGTAATTTTCTACGGAATGGATGGACGAATGAATATTTTTGTGCATGTTTTCCATGAAATACAACTGGACTTTTAGGGGCATCGAACATCAACGAGAAAAATTCATGCTAAGTAAGTAGTCATTTTTTACAGAGCGTAGTTTTTGCATGCAGCCGAAAAGAAGTTCGTT